CCAGCTGGCCTTGGTGAGTTCCCGATAGAACATACCCATTGTCTCAGTGTGTGGGTGCACCCCTCGCGGTCCTGAGTTCCTTGCTCGTGCTCTCTCTCCTTCTGCTCCTGATTTGGACCTTGAGATTCCTGTCCGGTGCTCCAATGTGGGTCTCTGTCTCTGTCTCCTTTCATCGCCTGATGAAGGTTAGTATTCCGGAGGATGCCTATATGTTTTTCTTTGGGTTCTCCTTATTTAGCTTCTCTAGGATCACTAATTATAGGCTCAAGAACTCAAGAACAATGGCAATGGGTTTTTGATCCTACTGCACGAACTGGCTTTGTGGGAGCCTAGGCAGTTTGGATGCTCACCTTACTAGGCCTGGATGGAGGTGGGTGGTCCTTGGACTTCCCACAGGGCAGGGAAACTTGATTGCTCTTTGGGCTGATGATGGAGGGGGACTTGTTTGGGGGAGGAGGAGGGAAATGGGAGGCAGTGGCGGGAAAGAATCAGAAATCTTTAATAAATAAATAAAAATTTAAAAAAAAGCTAAAAAAAAGCCACTGCTTTGGTGGCTGGATCTGTCCCACTCTTTGGCTGTCTGAGAGTCTAGCTTCATGACAGAGGTACTGTCAGGAGCCATGCTTGTTGCCACAACTCTGTGGAGTTTTCAGGCCCATGCTACCACAAAGAAGCATGCCACTGGCTGCTCTTAAACACCATTTAAATGTTTAGTAACAGGGCCTTTAAAGGAGCAGCCATGCAGTTTTTGCTGCTAACATTGAGTCAGGAAGTCTCTCTTAAAGGATCCGTGCTTCTGCTTGCTGCCAGTAAACAAGAGCCTACTGGAGTAAAGATGGTTACCAAGAAGTTGTGCTTGACTCTGTTCTTGTCTGTCTAGAATAATTTATTTTTGCTTTCTCGGGCTTTATGTGGAATTTCTTGCCAAACATTTGGGCATCATTTGTACATGGAAGTTTCTGTCCTGCCTGATCTCACAGCTCTTCAGTCACAAAGAAACACATAGAGGCTTATATTAATTACAAACTCTTTAGCCTATTAGTTCAGGCTTATTATTAACTAGTTGTTACAGTTTAAATTAATCCGTAATTCTTATCTATGTTTAGCCATACAGCTTTGGACCTTTTCTCAGTAAAACATTCTCATCTTGTTTCCTCTGCATTTGACTTGCAACTGAGTTTCTGTCTTTTCCAGAATTCTCCTAGTCTGGTTGCCCCACCTATACTTCCTACCTGGCTAATTGGCATTTTATTAAACCAATATGAGTGACAAATCTTTACAGTATACAAGAGTATTATCCCACAGCACTATCTATATTATATGTACTGACTTTTTCATTATTGAAAGTTATATAAGATTCATCTTTATAATTTTTTTAAGTATCTACTTCTGAAGCATTAAACAAATTTGCATCTATTTTCAGCATCGTTTTTTACAAGTTGCTCATTGACCATCCTATACCATATTCTACGTTCTATATCTATGAATTTGGCTGTCCTAGGAATGTAGATTCAGAAAAAAAAAACTGGGGGATTTTGTGACTGGTTCTTTCAAGTACCATGGTACCTTTAAGGTTTGTCACTGTAAGAAAAGTGTTCCAAAATCCTATTCCTTCTGGTGGTTTAGTGATAAAGTATGTTTAAAATTGCTAATCTGTTTGCCTGTGGACAAGACAGCCGGGTACTCTGAATGATGCTGACATAAAGACAGCTATTGAGACACCTGTATTAGTGCAGATTTTCAGGTTTTCTTGGTTGTATTAGTCTTATCACCGATAAAATGCCTGATGAAACAATGTAAGGAAGAAGGATTTAGTTTGCTCAGTACAGGGGATATCATTCCATCATGGCAGAGGAGACAGGACTATGTGGTGTAGTGGCATTTCAATTGCATTTTAATAGATAAAGCTTGACTGAAAATCTAAGAGGAAAACAGTTCCACTGGCCAGCCTTACAGACCAGGTAATGGTAACACACACCTTTAATACCAGTAACCACATTAATTTGCCATAGAAACCTGGCAATGCATGACTTTAGTCTCAGTGGTGCACGCTTTTAATCCCAGCCCTAGAGAGAATTATAAAATGAGAGGGAACAACACTCAAGAGATTTCTGGAGCCAGGATTGCCATTTTGGACTTAGGTTGAGGTAAGAGCTATTTTGCATTTCTGACCATCAGTTTGAACCCAATATCAGTCTTCTGAGATTTTATTGATCATGCATCATTTGGCAGCCAACATGAGGCTTTAATTTTGGGAAGGGAACAAGAAAGGGAGGAGGTAAGGGGGGAGAATGACTTCTCGAGAAAGGCACAGCAGAAAAGGGGAAACATCTTACTGGGACCAAATGTCCCTAAATGGTCCTGGACAGTGTTCAGGCAACCAGATACTCCAGGACATGGCCAGCACCCCAGTTTTTCAGGTCCCACTAAGATCCCAATGCCCACATGTCCGCAGTTAGCAGTCTTAAGAACCTGGTGCCCTCATTTTCCACCCCACTTGCCATCCGTAACTCACTTTTTATTATAGACAAAAGGGAAGAATGAAGCATGATTATTAAAAGCTCAGAGAAATTGGGGTTAAACCTGAAGATCTGAAAAGTAAAGCAGCCAGTCACTGGCTGTTACCTCTACCTCAATCTGAAATGGAGATCCTGCCTCCAGAAGTCTCACAGTGGGACTGTGTTGGAGAGTTGTTTCCTCCCATTTTATAATCTTCCCTAGTTGTGGGATTAAAGGCAGGCATTGCCCCGTTTCTCCAGCAACTAGTGTGGCTAATAGGATTAAAGGTGTGTGTTACTACTGCCTGGCTGTAAGGCTAGCCACTGGGTCTGTTTGACTTTCCCAATCATTAGGCAAGCTTTATCCATTAAAGTACAATTGAAATGCCACTATAATGTATAGTGGTAAGAGTTTGTGGCTTGTTCATATCATGGCTGACCAGGAAGTAGAGAGCAGAGGGCCAATGTTATAACATTCGAAGGCCTGCCCTCTGGTAGCCAGGTCCTACCACCTAATGCTTTCATATGTCCCAACACATTGCCACTAACTAGGGACCAAGTATTCAGATACATGGTCCTATGATGAACATTTACATTCAAACCATATTATTTTGCCTTGGCCCCCAAATGCAGTTAGATCAACTACAAAAGTCCACACAATCTTATAGTTCTAACAGCATATGAAAGTCTAGCAGCTCATCTGAGACTCAACGCAATCTGTAATATACAATGGTACAGAATAAGCATCCCCATTTCCAGTGTTCAGGGGGACAGGAAGGACAGAATACATCATAGCGAGACTGAACCCAGAAGGGCAAACACCTAACCCTGTCTTTCCGTATGCAGCACATAGGGCATATGGTGGCCTTTTCTAGAGAACATCAGCTTGCAGACCCTGGCTCTAGGGTCCTGCTCTTTACAGGATACAAAGGTTTTATCTAGCTAGGTCCACTCATTGACTCCAGCTTTCCTCAGTGAACATCCCACAGTCCTGGCATCTCAAACTTCCTGGGGTCTCCATTGTTACCTCAGCTATACCCCCACCACTTCACACATAGCACTGCACGAGAGAGACTGACCCTGCTACATGTTTTCTGTGGAACCTTAGTGAAAGTTTGGAGGTCTTGTGACTTGCATTATGCATATCTGAAAACTTATTTCTGTTACATCTCTAACTATGAGATCAGCACTAGCTTTGGCTTCAGCTAATTCTCCTGACTTGATTGAGCTGATTTTTCAAAAGATATTTATTTCAATTTTACGGCTATGAGTATTTTGTCTGAGTGTCATGTACATGCCTGGTATTCACAGATGTTATAAGGGACATAAACTCCCTGAAACCGGAGTTATAGACAGGTTTGAACTGTTGTGTAGACTCTGAGATCCAAACTTTTGTCCTCTGCAAAAACAGTAGGCACAATTAATCAATAAGATATGTTTTTCTTTGATTATGCTAATTTTGTAATCACTTCCAGGAAGCCCTTTTTCCTGCACATCTAATCTCTTTTCCTCTCTGCTTTTCAGGCTTCTCTCTGGGCTCCACAGTGCAGTCTCACACCAAGGGGATCTGGATGTGGTGTGTGCCTCATCCCCAGAAGGCAGACACCACCTTAGTTCTGCTTGACACAGAGGGCTTGGGTGATGTTGAAAAAGTAAGAATTGAGGGCACAGACTAAAATTCATTCCCTAATTTCTGAATATTCTTCATTGTTCTCTATGTTGCCTTAAAAGTGGTATGTATGTATGTATGTATGTATTATGTATGAGCATGAGCCTGTGTGTATGTTACATACTCCCCAGTATATGTTCTACATGACATGTGTAGATTAGAGTAAAACATGGGGTCAGTTCTCTTTTCCACCATGTGACTTCTAGGGATTGAACTCAGGCTCTAAGGTTGGGCAGTAAGCCTTTTTACCCACCAAGCCTTCTCATTGGAACTGTGATTTTAAAATAAGAGTTTAAACTTCATAATAGCATACTTTTCACATTTATTATATAACATGTGCTATGTTTAACCAAAAAATAAAGGAACTTGTCCCAAGACTGAATCATAGACCAGCAGGATGGTAGTCTGCAGTACTGAAACACTAACAGACTAAGCAGCACCAGTGAGAATCATCACACGTACAAACGCAAACCAAAAGGGCGTTCGCTCTGCAGGTGCTGTGGACAGCATCTGTTAGTTGATTGCTGTTTCTTTTGTTTAGTTTTGCACCTTGTATAGGTCACAAAAGTGTTTTGTTTCCTAGGTTAAAATCCCCTCTGAGTGTGCTTTACCACTTCTGATCTGGAAAGTGACACAAGAACAAAACATAATCCTTGCCCATGTGTGTTCGTACTTCCAGGGTGACAACCAGAGCGACTGCTGGATCTTTGCCCTGGCTGTACTTCTCAGTAGCACCTTTGTGTACAACAGCATGGGAGCCATCAACCAGCAGGCCATGGACCAGCTGCAGTATCCTTTCTGAGGGCCAGAACTGCACCAGAGCACGTGGAGTGGCCTAGCCTCCTAAACCAGCTCCATGACTCTGACTCTTGGTTAACGAACTATAAAACAAACAAACAAAAAACCCTCACATATATGTAGCTACAGTGTCCACATTGATGTTAGGAACAAGGCAAATGAAGGTTTAGGACTAGGTTCCAGGAAGATGTGCAACTAATACAGGATGGTCACCTGGAGCTGTGGTTGGTGTTCTGGTTGTTTCTGGGGTTTTCCTTAATTATCTGTTCAGCTATGTGACAGAGCTGACAGACAGAATCAGAACAAGATCCTCATCTGACCAGGATGAGGTGGATGCCTCAGATGAGTTTGTGAGTTTCTTCCCGGATTTCGTGTGGACTGTGAGGGACTTCTCTCTTGAGCTGAAAATAAATGGAAAACCCATCTCTGCAGATGAATACCTAGAGAATAGCCTGAGACTTATATATGGTAAAAGACTCACAACTGCTGAATGAAAATGCTAATTAAACCCCTGATAATCCAGATGTTTCTATCTATAATTTTCTTACACCTGCAGCTTCTATTTCTTCTAATTAGTACTCCTAAAGATTAACACTTAATACATGATTTAATATATTGACTTAAATATTTTCTTTCTTGTACAAAAAACAAATTTGTCTTGCACCTTTACCTATATAGTAATTAATTTGATTTCTCACCTTCTGAGTTGTTTTTATATTGAAGCAGAGAATATGGTACATATGAAGATATATTTGAGAAAGGTGGGGCAAGTGTTACCAATATCCTAGTCCAACAGTTGGTACAGTGTGACCCCACACAGCTGGTGTTCTTCCAGGAGTCTTTAGAAATGAAATGATGCTGTAATTGAGGGTTTACATATTGTCAAAATACACAGTATATCTACAGTAAGTAAAGTGAATATTTAGAATGAAGACCCTTTCCCTGAGAAGTCTATCAGAGCATTCAGCCTTTCCTAGACTGAAAATCTTTAAAGCAAATATCACCCCTACTTTTCCTTTTCTGTTTTTTTTTTGATTTGTATTTTCAGGGTCTCACCTTCTGACTCAGGTTGGCCTTAACTTAAAATCCTCCTTCCTCAGCTTCTAGCAAGCTAGGATTACAAAACCTCACATGATAAAATTTTAAAATATATGTTCACTTTGCATGTGATGGCTGAAAATTCTGTTTTTGCTCTATCTAGGTACTGGCCAAAGAGATAAAGAAAAAGAATTAAATATGCCTAGGCTTTGTATCCACAAGTTCTTCCCAAAGAAGAAATGCTTTGTCTTTGAGAGGCCAGCACCGGGGAAGAAGCTTGGCCAGCTGGAATCACTACAGGATCATGATCTGTACTCTGACTTTGTGGAACAGGTGGCAGATTTCTGTTCCTACGTGTTCAGCTGTTCCAAGGTTAAAAGGCTTTCAGGAGGCATCAAGGTCAATGGACCACGTGAGTCCCTTCCCAGTCTTTTTGCTAACTGTTTAGGCCAGAGCATTATGCGATAGCAATGACCAACTTCAGCCTTGAAGAAATGTAGACCCATACCACTGTAGTGTGAAGCTGTAAATGGTTCCAGCATTTATAATATTTATAATATATTTTGTCTATCACTTTTTTTGGATAAAGAGAAAAGAGACAAAAACAACACCTTTTAAATTACTCTAGAAAACTGTACCTGCAATCACTAGACAGCAAATAAACAAGTGTGACCTTTAAACTTTGATGTAAGTACAATAAAATCCACACAGAACTTGTCATTAGCACATACAGAAAGTTTTCTTGGGCAAAACAAACTATTCTAATCAACCTGACGGGGAATTTCTGACTGAGAGTGCGTGTTTTATTACAAAAGTGGAGTTAAATGCTTACTGTGGACAGGGATGGTGACAGACAAAAATGGGGGAGGTGTGGAGCCCAGTCTCATGACACAAACATTCCATAGACACAGGTCCATGCAATCTCCATCCAGTCTTCTTAGCCTTTGGGGTCTAACACATCTCAGGAGAGGATCTTGCCTAAGAGAAAGGCCTAATTTTTTTCAAAGTGAGGTAGAGGCTGAGATGTTTCTGTCTGTCATTCCTCCAAATGATACTGAGAACACTGATGCTTTAAGGCACCAATGATTGTCATATCCAGAATTACACAGAGTAGTATTTCCTTCGTCCATCTCTAGCAAATATTGTCACCTGTTTCCTGGTTGTAGGACTAGAGAGCTTGGTGACAACCTATATCAACACCATCAGCAGTGGAGGTTTACCCTGTCTGGAGAATGCTGTCCTGGCTTTGTCCCAGACAGAGAATGAAGCTGCAGTGCAAAAGGCCATTGCCCACTATGACCAGCAGATGAGCCAGAAGTTGCAGCTGCCCACAGAGACCCTCCAGGAGCTGCTGGACCTGCACAGGGCCAGTGAGAAAGAAGCCATCAAGATCTTTATGGAGAATTCCTTCAAAGACATTAATCAAGTGTTTTTAATGCAAGTAATGGTAATATTTCTCTTAAGTTTACCTGGAAGTAGATTTTGAAAGGCAACTTGCTGTGAGGAAAAGAAAGCAGTTTTTGAGGCAGGCAGCTGCTATTAAACTTTAAAGTAGTAAGAGCTACTTTTTAGTAATCATGCCAAATATGACAAAATGGATTATCATAGACACAAAACTTAAAATATCTGTTCTTTCAATGTAAGCTAGTAACATCTCTCCTTTATTAAGTACAGAGAAGTAATTAGTGTGTCTGATCAAGCTGCATGCCCAGTGCCAGTAGACTGATTCAATGCTCAATTCAGTGACAAAGAAATTTTTTTTTTTATTTCATGGGTCATCTCTGGTCCAGTATGGAAAAAACAGTTTACCTCTAAAAGTGTAAATCTCTGCTTTGAACTTCACTGCCAAGGAGCAAGGGAGACATCAGTAAAGGCTGGCATCAGAGGAAGGATGTGGTTATAGTCAGTGCTTGTATGTTTTCCTTCAGTTGTTTGGGTTTTGTGTTGGTTGTCGTCAGGCTTCTTACCCTTCTTAATGTTTTTCTTTTCATTTTTACATCAAAGACCAGATTAGAAGCAAAGCTAGAAGAATTCTTTAAGAAGAATGCACAGGTGTCCTCAGACCACTGCTCGGCTCTGCTTCAGGGTATTTTCAGTCCTCTAGAAGAAGACTTGAAGCATGGGATTTATTTTAAACCAGGGGGATACTTTATTTTTATGCAGAAGATACGGGAGTTGAAGAAAAAGTACTATGAGGAACCTAGGAAGGGGGTTCAGGTAAACAAGGTTACGTGTGTTCTAGGAAGCTTCTGACCTTCTTCACAGAACAGTATGACCCTAAGCATCACTATGAGAGGATATTACTGTCTGTATTCCAGGCATTTGCTTCTTCAACATCACATACGTGAAGGCTGTCACACTTGATGTGTCCTGCTTACTCATCAGAGACAGTGCAATCACTCAACACTTGAGTTCACACTGGACAATCACATTGACCACCAGTGTGACTGTTATCCTGTGTTTAAGCTGGACTCTTTGTGTTGAAAGGACCCAAGATAGCCCCTTTAATTCCGAAGTCAGGCTAGGCATCACTATAGTAAAGGGAGGATATGAAGATAGGCACAAAAGCTTTCACTCATTCCTGCTGTTAACTTCATATTTTCTGGACTTGAAGGCTGAAGAAGTTCTGCAGAAATTTTTGCAGTCAAAGGAAGAAGTGAGTGATGCAATTCTACAGACAGACCAGACTCTGAAAGAAAAGGAAAAGGAGACTGAAGGTAAGGCACAACTTAATGGACTACATGCCCTCAAAAGCTGTGGAATGTTTAGATTATTTTTAAAACCGGGACCTTCAAGCAAACTTAAAGGACAAAGCTGTGTCTCGATGGCTAGTATCAGACATGGTAGTACTATGATGTCAGCAGTAACAATGGAGCAGGTGAGGAAGAGAGCATCACATGCTGCATTTACATATTCCTTCTTGATTGCCTTCCCAGTGGAGCGTGTGAGAGCTGAAGCCACTCAGGCTGCAGCAAGAATGCAGGAGGAAATGCAACAGGAGAATAAGCAGTTGCTGCAACAGAAAAAGAGTCATGAGAAACATATAAAAGTGTTGACTGAGAAGATGGAGAAGGTCCAGGCCCAGTTGAGCAAGGAGAAGAGAGCACATTTGAAGATATCTTTGGTATTTAAATTGCACCAACTTCATTTAGAAAATATTTTAAAATGTGTGTGTGCGTATGTATGTATGAATTTGTACATGTGCATGTAGTTGTATCTGTAAAGTCCCAAAGGGAGAGTCAAGTCCCCTGGACCAGGAGCTATATGTGCTTGTGAGCCACCTAACTTGAATGTTTGGAACTGATTTCCAGCCTGTAACACACTCTGTACCACTGAGCCACGTATCCAGTTTCCTGTTCTCTCCATTTCTGTTCATCAAGAAATTTAATGAAGCCTAAAGGTTAACCAAGCCAGATCCCATCTGCTGTCAATTCCTAAATATCTGCTTGATAGTCTGCAGCCCATATCTGGTGATTAAGTGATCGATTACTAATGACATCACACTAAGTCATTTAGTAATATATATGCTATATTTTGGCAGCTATGTTCTTTGTTTTATATTTTTATTTATTTCTTAGGACTCTATGAACCAAGAACTATATTCCTATTACATAGAATAAAGAAACACAGGTTCACTTAAGATTAAATATACCATCTTAGTACTTTGGGAAGTAGAGACAGGAGGATCAAAAGGTCAAAATCATCCTCAGCTCTATAGGGATTCAAAATCCACTACGGCAATAGCTCCTGTCACAAAAAAAATCACTATTTATGTACACATACAATAGATTAGGCTGTTTTTCCCATAGTGGTATCCCACAACGGTAGTTTTCTGTCTCACTTGCTATGAGTTTGTTCTTAAGAGAGTGCTTATGAGGAGAGGAACTATTTAACTTTCCAACTATGTAACAGTCTATCTGTCACTCTGTTTTCCTATACTCTGCTTTCAATTTGTGTTCAGTTGGGAGTTAGATGAGGAAATTCATTATCTTTAGTTTGGGACTCTATTTTCTTACCTGTCATCTGTCACCCTGCTACCAAGTCTTAGAAGCTTACATTAATTTTCTCCTTCCCACCCCTTCTCTTCTCTCTCTCTCTCTCTCTCTCTCTCTCTCTCTCTCTCTCTCTCTCTCTCTGTGTGTGTGTGTGTGCGTGTGTGTGTGTGTATACACCTGTGTGTATATGTTAGTGCTTGTTCATCTGTGCACATGGATGTGAAGGCCAGAGATTTACTTTCAATTTCCTCCATCACTCTCCACAGTATTTTTTAGACAGGGTCTCTTACTGAACCTCAAGATCACTGATGAAGCCAGCATCATTAGCTACTGGCTGCTAAGTTTTAAGGATCTGCCAATATCTGCCTTACAGGTCTGGTATTGCAGAACAGTGCTGTATCTAGTTCTTACCTAGCAGTCATGTTTCTGATTCAGACATGTCCTTACCCCCTACTCCTGGTTAAATTTCTTAGACTAAGATTTATAGCCTTAGTTAGATATTCAGAATTCATTTCTGTGGTGAATATTTACATAAGGGGTGAGTAAGGGTTTATTAAATTAAAGTCTATAATGATGCAACTTGAATATAAACTCATGATTAAGATTACCTACAGAGGTTATAAACAACTGATGAAGGAAAAAAAATCAATGCTGGTAGCTTAGGTTCATCAATGGAACTGTTTCTTAGCTAAAGGAGTCCTAAGAAAAGTGACTACAGCTACCCAGGAAAAAGTATAATTTGAGGAGGAGGCTAAAAAATTCCAAAAAGGAAAAGCAAAAGCAAACCTCTCAACATTAAAGTTTACTCACGAATAATAAAAGGTTATAATTCAAGAAAAAATAAGTTTGTGAAAAAATTAAGAAATTAATAATAAAAATCATGATGAAAACTGCATAAAACATAAGGATCAACCCAGTACAATATTCATTGTCTCTGTTACTTTTTAGGAATGTGCAGAACTACGGGAAGAGAATGAAAGACTTCATTTCAGGAAAAGGAGAAAGGTTTTTGGATGTGTGTTGTGCTAAAGGCCTAAAAGAGTAGTGCTATCCTGCCATTCAAAGCAGAACTGAAAAGGGTGTAGAATTTGGAACAGGAGTGACTCTATGTGAAACACAAATTAAAAATATGCAAAGATGTTCAGTGCAATCATGGAAATCATGTTCATCTTCATATAAGATTGGGTACCAAAGATGCCATTGATGTCTTTCTCACAAAAGAGGTACCAACAACACCACTTAGAAGAAAGGCACCTTTCCAGATGATCTCAAGACACTTATTGTATTATTAAGTATTGGTTCATAATTAGGAATCCAGTTGTCCAAGGATGTGATAGATCTAAAGGACAGGGACAACCAACCTTATTTCCCACAATGTAAAGTTTTCCATTGTATGAAATATCAAAACACTCAACTTTTCAGCAGTGGAATTATTTGTGGACACTGATGATGGTTAACCCTATGAACACACTCCATTATAAATCAAGACACCTGCCTGGAGATGAGATATCCAAAGGAATATGGAAGAACCCATTACCATGACAAGAAGCTGTTTTACAGATCCATGGGCCAATGAAGGGAATGTACATGGAGAGATTGAAACTGTTACATTACTTTTCTAAACTTTAATATTTAACACTGATTGCATGCTAACATGATGTCAACAAAGCATAATGTAGACCTTAAGGATGACTTTAAATGATGATGGGTAATCTACAGTATCAAGTGTATTTTAATGGTTTATCTGTAACCATAAACTTACTCTACTCTTTTCCATTTTTTAGCAGTTATACCTGAAATCCTTTTGATTTTTCCACAAGCAGAATAAAGATTATTTTCCCATATTTTCGACCAACTCTTAGTATTAAGGCATATATATATATAATATACTCCAACTACCAGAAGTGCAAAGTAAGTAGTTAACAGTTTTTAAAGGGATCAAGAACTGTTGGGGGCTGTGGCTCAGTTTGCTGTGCAAACATGAGCACAAAAATTCAGAGCTTTTCTCCCATGTAACAAACCAGACATGGTGGCACACACCTGGAAGCCGAGCACTGAAGTTGGGGAAAGGCAGACAGAATGATCCTTGGGTTCTACTAGTCAGCCAGCCTAGTCAACAAATGGGCTCTGGGTTTATTGAGAGACCCCATTTCAAAAATAATAGGGAGAGCAACTGAGGACAGAGTCAGCACACTTTGCCTGCAGGACCATGAGAAATCAAGCTGGAATGAAACTGGACTCTCTTTTGCTGAATGGTTCTCATGGAAGCAAACAGAAGTATGCAGGTTGCTGAGGAGAGCTGTCACCAACAGCCCTGCTTGGGTATGAGACTTCCCTCCTCCAGCTTCCAACATGCTAGGCAGGATGTAATCACTGGAGTGGCTCACTGATTGTGAGTGCCTTCTGATTAGATCTAAGGCCAACTCCACCTGAATGCAAATCTGATACTGAAAGCCAGGGCAAAGACCATGACTAAAGGGAGTTGGGTCATGGGCCCTACTGGGGAAGCCACTTATATTGATTTTTAGGTGCATGTGATGTCCCTGAAAAAAAAAATTTCCTTCTGAACATTTGTTGGTGTCATTATGAGCACAAGATTGAAAGTGAAAGCAGACAGGCTCAGCTCCTCAGAAACAGCCTGGATGTCAAGAAACCACATGACTTCTTGAATGGGTTACAGTCTGATTTGTGCAGTGTGTTGTACATTAGGCTGCTGAAAAGTTTATCCAAGTCCTGAGATTACGAATATCAGGTGTGGGATGTTTTATGCTAAACTGCATTTTACAAAATGAACTCAGTAGCAAACTCCACTGCACAGCAACAAAAATCACAGATTTTCCAGTAGAACAGAGGCAGGACCTTCAAGTTAGGAAAACAATGGATGCAATGCATGTAGGTGTTTTCTGAGAACAGATGCTGTGCGCACAGCACTGTGGGCAATGTGCAGGGCAGCAAGAAGACTCGTTAGACCCAGTCTCTGCCCTAACAAGGTTTACTGCAATGGGTAAAATGGGCTCTTCAGAGGGTGGAAGAAGAGAGGAAAGCAAAAAACCTGGACACTAGATAACTGATTAGCCTAAGATCACCAAGTAGAATATTTCAGTCTCTTTTTTATTAAAACAATTGTTTTTTATTTTATATGCCAATCCCAGTTCCCCTCCCTTCCCTCATCCTGCCCTCCCAACCTTTCTTCCACACCACAACCCATCAGCTCCTCAAAGAAGTAAGACGGTAAGGCCTCACATGGGGAGTCAATAAAGTCTGGCACATCATTTGAGGCAGGACCAATGCCCTCCCTGCTGTATCTAGACTGAGAAACGTATCCCCACATAGGGAATGGGCTCCAAAAAGTCAGTTCATGCACTAGAGATAAATTCTGGTCCCATTGCCAGTGCCCCCACAAACTGCCAAAGCCACACAACTGTCACCCACATTCAAAGGACCTAGTTTGTGCCCATGCAGGTTCCTCAGCTGTCAGTCTAGAGTCAGTGAGCTCTTACTAGCTCAGGTCAGCTGATTCTGTGGGCATGCCCATTATGGTCTTGACCACTTTGCCCATATCATTGCGCTCCTCTCTCTCTTCAACTGGACTCCTGGAACTCTGTATAGTGCTAGTTGTGAATCTCTGCACCTGCTTCAATCAGATGAAAGTTCTCTGATGACAGTTAAGGTAGTCATTTATCTTATTACAGGGGAATGAAGATGGAAGTTACAAAATAATTCCACATGAGCTCAGAATCACATATAATAAAGGGTTATTTATTTAGGGGAAGAATCACAGATCACAGACCTCTGCACAAATGAGGGAAAAAACCAAATCCAGAAGGCAGGAGAGAGAGCATGAGCATGCACTTTATATCAGCAATTATAGTATAAGAGGCCATGCCCACATGGGCTGGTATCTTAAAGGCTATTGGCTGAAGAAATTTGACAACACCTCCCCCTTTTGTTTAAATAAAAGAGTTCTAAGCCTATTATAAAACTACATATAATAAGAACGAATATCAAGTATAAAATTAGAATTACAATCAGCATAAACAATCATAAACAATATTAAGCAAGGAACATGCTAAATGTTTCAATAATCATTCCTATCTAAGGAGTCTAAGTCTTGTATTAGAAAGGACATGACTAAATCATAAGAAGAAAGTAACTATGACTATCTAATCTTCAACCCCCATTGAAGGCCTCTTAGGGCAATAATATCACTTGAGTAAGCAGGAAATACCATCAAGCAGATTCCAAAATGTGCAACAGATAACAGAGACAAGTGGCTACCTGGGTAATCACCTGAAGTCTCATTTGCAATATTGAAGCAACCAACTTTGGCTAAAGCCTAGAGTAACTAACAGATAATTTTTAGAGACAGTAAAAATTTCAGAACCATCTTACCTTGTCTTGGCAAGGTTTAGCAGAAGTTTTTCCTCTATTCTGCTTGTCCTGTCCAGACATTGTGCATTTTGTCAGTGGTTAAGGCATGGGCAATTCCTTGCCCAAAGACCAGTTTTGTCACAAAGAAAACAAACTCCAAGTGGAGTGTCTTTGTTGCTCAACATTCTCTCAGGAATAGACCAGTGCTGCCAGTAGCAACTGTGTCTCATATCAACAGAACCCGAAGTTATTTAAATGCCATGTCCTACTGTTCTTTGAATTAGTTGAAGGTTACCTATATATGCAGAATACAATCTCTGTGCATCTAAAGAACCTGATTAGTCTACCTATAAGTACAACAAACATGAATGACTATTGGCCTATAATACTTAATACCTGTATAACAACAATCTTTAAAAAAAACTGTGCAGCAATTGAGGACAATGACCTCAAAATGCAAACAATGTACAAGTATCTTGATCAGAGGTAGAAGTTTGTAACACAATATTATAAATATATCCTAAAATTGTTTCAATGTATAAAATGTCTTAAACAGAGGTAGAAGCATGCACGCATACAATCTGACAAAATAACTTTGCATAGGTGTACAAATATTGTCAACAGAAATAGAAACATATTTAATATAACAAATATAATTTGAACTTGTATTCAATATACAAGAATCTATACCAATGTAAATTGCCTATAAATAATAGCTCACAAGTATTCACTCTATTACTTATTATTATTATTAGTGTGATAAGCTTACACTAATCTACCTATTATCCCATCCAATTTCCCTTATTTTTTCAAAGATATCCCTAAGCCTAGATAATTTTCACCCCACCAACCACCACTACATAATTTCCACCCCAACCCCCAACCCCAGGCAGTTATAATCAAACCTGGATTCATGTCCTTAACTCTAAGGACAAACTGTGTTGGGATGGGGGACATTGTCTTCTAAAATTATTTCCAGCTGTCATGGGAGTGATGTTCTTTCTCTAGAATTCAGTAAAAGTAAAATGATAATTAAGTTTCAAGATTACTGTCTGGTATAATTGTCAATAGTTTCTGAAGAGTGGATACAGTTTTTCTGAGGTTCTTTTTAGGAGTTATGGCCAGAATGTTGTAAGAAGGTGGACCATTTCAGCTAACCAAGTTGGAACCATCTTAAGCAGCTGGTAGCCAAAACCATTATTTAAGTAGGGCTATATGCATTATGACATCATATCCACCAGGTGGAATCATTGTTGTGGGGCCCTATCTTCTTCCTGGAAACTTCAAAGATTACTGCAATAAAATTTATTGTTCTTTGTGGAAAACTTAAACATTATTCATATATTCATATATATTCATACATATATTCAATGGAAGATATGCTATAGACAAAGTAGATATGGAGAAAAGTAAAATTTTTCATAAAATTTTTCTTCTTTCTGTCCCATATCAGATGTCTCCTGACATGAGACAGAAATGCTGAATTTTTCTTTTAGCAACATACTTAGATTTTGACAAGGATAGCCATTGTCCAACACCAAAGCCAGCCTTGATTTTTAAGTGAGTTTTTATTTCTACTGGGTTTTAGATATTTATGTATATGTACAGAAAATATATGTTTAAAATTTTACACTGCAGATGACCTGTCCTCATAAGTCATATTCCTCTGTGTTCAGTGATCCTTTCTGGAAAGTTACTTTTTTTCTCTTTGGGCATACAAACATCCAGGGTCTCTTGACTTTCTGAAAATGTGTATTTTCCTTCAAAGACAAAAACAGAACCCTGACCCAACCTTTATGAGGTTCCCTTACCACCCATATGATTGTCACCTCTGTAGAGGAGCTGACATTTCTCTGTCTCAAGAGGTTTTTCCTTTTCAAATAAAATCTTTTTTAATTTTGATGGTATCCATAGCTTTTCTTCTCCTGTAGAAACAAGAACAAAACCCCTTCCACAATGTAGCACATCTCCTGGTTTCTATTCTGAGGTCAACACATCTTTGAAATACACTGGCTAATTTAGTTCAGAAGTCTTTCCTATTATCCAGTGTTTATCTGCTGCCATTGTTCTCTTATCACTGGCATTTAGAAAATTCAAGGTTAATAAAGAATTATGTAATCTATTTCTGGGGGTATTTTCATTCCCTTTTTGTTTGTTTAACATGTCCTTTATAGTTTGGTTTGATCTTTATATAACTGCCTGACCTGTAGTATTGTTTGGAATACCTGTAATATGCTTTATATTATAATAAGCAAAAAACTGTTACATTTTTTAAACACATATGCTGGACAATTATCTGTCATTATTTGTACAGGTATATCCATGATGGCCATAACTGCTAATAAATGTGTGATTACTGAATCAGCCTTTTCTGAGCTCAAGGCAGTTCCCCATAGAAAACCTGAGTAAGTGTCAAAGATGTGATATACATATTTTAATTTTCCGAATTTTGTAAAGTAGAACACAT